TTTTGGGTTCTATGAAAAGGAAGGAAATAGGAAAAGTTTGGAGGGGGGTAAAAGCTAACTATGGATAGTGTATAGGAATAAGATGGTTCCCAAACTGTGGGATTATTAATTTCCGAGCCATTTTTTTTGCATATTAGTGAAAGATTTTGTAAATTTTATAGATATTCTTATTGAAGCATAAAAATTTTTGTACATGGGTTGCCACCTCCTTGGTACTTGTAAAGATACACGCCATACTTTTATTTCAAAAAAAAGTTAGAAGATTTGCTTGGACAAAAATACGTAAGTTATGTCGTCTGATGCATGATAAGTGTCAATGAACAACTGTTAGTTTGGTGAAGTACTGATCTGATCTATCTATTATTGTGCCTTTGGATGCAGCCCATGCTCTCTGCTAAGCTGCTCCTGAAGGGTATGTAAGTATCATATTGTGAGTTATGCCAGCGGCCAGGTTGTATTATATATCTTTGCCGCTCCTTAAAGGATATGTAAGAATTGTTATATTGGAAGTTATTCAGCAGCAAGTGATTTGCTTTCAGCAACGAATATGATAGTGTCGTGAAAACAAGCACACAATCTCTGTTATCATATAGGCCACACATTGCTTTTTCTTCCTGTATAATGCATAACTCTTGTTAAACTGACATTGGTTTGGTTCAATTCTGCATATTGTTTTCATTGATGATCCCTTGGTTTTTTTTCCCTATTGTGGTAACGTACCTTTACAGACGCCTTTAAAGCTTCGATCTGCCATCAAAGGTAGCCGTGAGAAACAGGGGTTATCACCAAGAAAGTTAAATGTGACATGGGCTCCAGATGTATATGATCCTCCACCAAAAACAATCTTGTCTTATGCCAAAAAAAAAAAGCAGCAGAAATCCAAGAAGAAAGACAAGGACAACTACAAGAAGAATGGGAAAAAAGGTCAGAGGAGTGGTAGTTCCTCTCGAGGCGGTGCAGGTGGCAAAGATGGTCGTGGGGGTAGTAAAGACAGTCGTGGGGGTGGCAAAGAGAAAGACAGAGACAAAAAACAGCACTGTAGAAATGGACAGGATAGATTTATTGACACTGGTAATGATAAATTTGAAGTGGGTAGCCCAGACTCCTACTGTGGGGGGAACTTCCTTATTAATTCACTCACCAAGGTGCACTACAAAGTTGCAGAGGCTGTATAAGGTAAATTAATTTCCGATTGTGAATAAATAATTTGGAAAGACTTGTAGCTGTGGAAGCTTTACGCGTTGTTCCTACTATTTATAAAGTAACTTTGATGCGTGTATTTGTAAAGATTGCCTTTCTGCTTCACTGTAAATTTAATTATACACTAGAAATTTTGTATTTCTTTGATTAGTGATTACCTGCTACTTCACTGCCGTCTTAGTATTACCTGCATATTTGTAGTACTTTTTACAACGCTACATAAAGTATTCTGCTTATTCCTGTGCATGTTTTATGCATTAATCACATCCAAGCAGAAATCCTCAAGTTATTCATTTTGAATGTTTTTCTCATGTTGCAGTACCTGCTAGTTAAAACCAGAAGAGTAGTCAAGCTCGAGTTCAAAATAGTTCCTTTTTCTTACGTCTTGCTACTGTGATCTTTTCTCTTATTTCAGAAGTTAGGATCTTATTAGCTTTTCTCTTTTAACCAGGCTTGAGGGACGTTAGGAGTTTTAGAAGTGTTGGTATCTGGTTAAAAGCAAGTTCTTCCTTTTTCTTTAATAATTTAAAGCAGTTGCTCAGAAAAGAAACTCTCTTGAGATTGATGCTTCTCTCCTATCTTCTAGTTGTCCAGTCCTTTGAAATGAAAGAAACTAAAACCATGGATGAAGCTGTTTTTTCTTGTCGGATCAAAGAAGACCTAGAAAATCTCAATTCAACTATACGTTCATATCACTAATGGCAGGAAGAGTTTTTAACTATCTAGAAAGTTTTGTTTGAAGAAAATGCTACTTCCTCTTGCCCGACCACCAAGAACAAATTATCGCCCAATCCTTTTAAGGAAGAACTGCTTATGAACAAAAGCAAATGAAGCTCTAGCTCGGCAGTTGCTTGCATCTTAGATAAAAAGCTCACTCCAACATGCACTATATGATACCAAAACTTTAGGGAACTAAATTACTTGTATACTCAAGTCAACCTTTTTATTTTGCCTAGGCATGAGTGCTTTCCTTTTCTACATTTGGTATATTCTCTCTCTAAGATAGAAGGTCTTTCCTCAATTTCCCATTTGTAAGTTGTTTCATAGTTAATGAGCAAGAAGAGGTTTAGGAAGTTGATTCAAGCAAGAAGAGGTTTAGGAAGTTGATTCAAGCAAGAAAGGAAATCTATTAACATGGTGGCAATAGGGCTACTATTCTTATCGAGAAAGAAGAGTTTTTTCTTTTTAAATAAATCGAGAAAGAAGAGTTCATGATCAATCAGTTTGGACACTCAGCATTTCAAACAAACTCATTGTTGAGTCGTCCTATAGATATTTAGCTAAGAAAGATCCCAATGAGAGCAATTTTCTTTACCGAGAAATTTGGAAGGTGAAGACCCCTTCTAGAGTAGCTTTCTTCGCTTAAGGTCATGTGTACATATTGACCATTGATAAGCAAAAAAGTAGAGGAAATATTATGGTAAATTGGTGTCGTTTATATACAAGGTGGAGGAAACTTGCAACCATTTGCTATTTTGGTGTTCCGTTGCGCATAGCTTATGGTCTATGACATGGGATTCATGACTTTAATTGGGTTATGACAGGCATAGTAAGGGATAAATTATAGGCATGGAATGGATTGATTGAGCGGAAAAAAATGTTTGGGGCTTGTTCCACTATTCATCTTTTTGGTTGTGTTGAAAGAAAGAAATAAAAGAATTTTTAAAAGAAAGAGAGTATTGATGAAATTTAAGAGAGATGGTTTCAGATCCTTGATTTTTTAGATATGGGGTCAACCATTGTACTGCATGAAGAATTTATGAGAATTAATTGATATTTTTATCTGACTTGTAAATAATTTTGCATATGAATTTGTAACCCCTTAGTATCTATATTTAATAATATATGTTATACTTGTTATTTCAAGAAAGAGAGACAGAAAAAGAAGAGTTCACAGCTACCAAGACTGAGTCAGACTATAAGAGTTACCTTACCGCCAACACTAGTAGGTAGTGCTTAAATTTTTTTACTAGTTTAGTTTCCATTTTTCACTTGCAGATGGGCTCTCAAGACAAGGGATTGAAGGACATAGCTCTTAAGATAAGGCTAAAGTCCTAACAAGCTTTCCCTACCACATAACACATCTAACTGAGTTAGAAATCAAACATTACAAACGTGGCTTGGAACTCTCATTTTATTTTTATTTTTTTTTGAAATAAAAAGAAATCATTTTCAAGGTACTAAAGGGATACCACTCAATAAACAATTATTACAGCTCAATCAAATGATCTAAAACTATCCCTAAATCCTTAAAATCCTAAATGTCATGTCTCAAGAATAAAAAATAAAAAATATAAAACCATAATGTCATCTCATTTTATCTTTTTCCTCGTTCCTATTTGATTACTGATTAGTTATTGCTTCACCTTCGTCTTAACATGTTATTGTTACTATTTTGTATTTCTATTCTTGTATTATGTTGGTACTTTTTCTAATGCTTCTAAATGTTTTTTTTGTCACAGCAAATAGTTAGATAGAACTAGAAGAAAAGTCAAACTCCTTTCTCTCAAGTCTTGCCGTATTGATCTTTCCTCTTATTTTAAAAGCTAGGATTAGACATAATTTTCTGTGAAACAGGCGTAAGGGAAAGCTTAGTTTCAGAAGAATGTCTCGCAAAAGCAATTTTTTTTTTACAAATAATATTAGATCAATTGTCTAGGGAAAAAGCACTTAACATTGATGCTTCGTTCTTATCTTTCAACTAGCCTTTTTACAGGATGAATTAGTAGCTATGGAAGGAGCTTTTTTCCCTCGCCAGGTCAACGAAGATGAGGAAAGAACTTCAAACAAGTTACCCAACAAATGTTTTCTTTCAATGGTGCATCGAGGAAGCATGCTAGAACGAGAATTTAAGTTCACAACTATAAAAAATAATAAATTGTCCGAATTATTATTAAAATCTAGTTAATGGATTGATGATCAATTAGGTTTCTTTGTTTCCTTCATGATTTTCCCATCAAATTGTTAAAATTGAAATTGAAATTATATGATTTATTATTAATATTAATCCATATAAAAGAATTTAATACTTGAATTTTATTAAAAATGATTAAGTTAGATTAAGTCTTATTTATATTTACATTAGTTATATAATTTGGTCGACTGTTATCAAACCCGTCGGCCTTGACTCTTAATTCAAATTTAATAACCGTGCTTGCCTATAACCTGACAATTTATAATTTGACCATTTATCTCATAAAGAAACAATTCATCCGCATACATAAGTGATTTTTGTGTCTATATCACATCCCTGATTTTGCTCGTGCAAAATTTCCTGTAAGAGACTTTGCAGAGGGCAAAATGAGCTAGATCTAAAAAGCAAGAGGATATTTGTTACAGATTCTGACACAAAAGCACAAGCCTATAACTAGATCAGAAGTGCTTTAGATATATCGGGAATAATTGGGAGTAATCAGGAATGCATTTAGCACTGGAGTATTGTTACTCGTGTGTTCACAAAGAAAAAATTCTATGTTGTGTATTCTGCATTTATTTTGACATAGTCATAGCTCAAATCACAGCCCCATGCCTGGCCACTAGCTGGCCCTTCACCTGTTCCGTAGAAACAAAGCAATCAAATAAGTAAAAGATAACAAGGTTTGAGAAACTCAGTACACAGAATAATCTCTTACTGATGTTCACGATTAATTAAAGTTAGCAGTAGAAAGGATGGTGCTAAAATATTATTGTATCATTTTATTATTACTTGGTGAGAAAGATGATCTCATTCTTCACATTTTCATTTCTCATGCATGCATAAAGACTTAGTTGTTTGCTCTGAGTCACTGGAAACCTACCTATGGATATGTGTACAACAACAGTTCCATGAGTCTCTCCAGCTTGTTTGAGATAGTCACTAGCTGCAGCCCTGAAATCATCTCTTGTTATTATTAGAAAAACATGTGGGAAATCTAGTGAGGTATGGAAAACGTGTGTATGGCATATAAAAGTTATCTATCACACCTGTCAAATGGAAGGGGTTGCCCACCATTCATGAGCAAGACATCTCCAAGTGATATTTGGAGCTTGTTAATGTCGAATGAAATCCCTGCATAGCCAGCAGCAGCAGCTAAGCGACCCCAATTCGGATCTCTGCCATATACCGCAGCCTGATGCCACAATAGAAATTAGGCAGAGGAAAAAGTCAATTGCAAGTATCAAAATGGGCATTTAAATTCCAGTTTCATGCCTTGACAAGTGATGAAGAAGCCACAGAGCGAGCAATTTTTGCTGCATCAGTTTCAGTATTAGCACCAGTCACTGTGACCTGCAACATTTTACGTCCCTCATATAAAAATGAATAAAGGAACTTGACTCAAATTCCAGCTTAATCAAAACCTGCATTAAGTAAAATCAAGTAACTCATATAAAACTCAGGGATTCACGTTCATTTCTCAATTAGGAAAGAAAATTCGAGGGCTGTAGATAATCTAATTTAGAAATTAAGATACAAATTAGAACCCGATTATACAGATGCAGAAACTAAGATAGAAAAATAGACAGCCCTGACTGCATTGAAAATTAAAGACTTCTCGGAGCGAAAACCACAATAGGAGCAATTCAATGGACAGATTTCATATATGAATCAGTACTTCTGCAGATGGATGTATTGACACCTTTCACATGGTCTACAAATAATTTTTTTATATTTACTCTGACTCCATCACAACAGCAGTCCTGATGGACCACAAATGGTTGCATTCTGCAGTCAGAGATGCACAAACATAACACACGAATTTGTCCCTTCCTACCACTCAGCAAAATGCAGACACACGAAAACATAAAAGAAAATAAATCTAGTTGTCAGAGATGTATGAATCTTGACACCTCACATTTTGATAATAAGGGTAGTAGTGATACATGGTTCAATTACAAGAACAGTCCTGATATAGTGGCTAAATTCTTTGGACAAAGTGGCAAGTGGCAGAGATCCAAGACATAATCTTGGCTATGTACCAAAGATCTTCCTTTATCACCTGGTAAACAAAACTATAGAAAGACCAAAGAGAATCAGCTTCAAAATACTTTAGCACAAGATGCAAACCTCAATTAGACATGTTGCTCCTTCTCCATCCCAAGCAATTGATTTGGCAAGGCCTTGCATTACCTGCAAATAGAGACAAATTTAGTCCTTGAATAAATTCATCATAAGGCCATTACCATGGAGATCAGAAAATCAAATGGCAGACAAGCCTACCACATCAAGACAGGCTTGAAGTTGTGTTGCCTCATAACAGTTCATAGATTTGATCAAGGGTGACCCAGATAACCCACTGGCCAGAGCAATGACGGTATCATTGGTACTAGTATCTCCATCTACCTATAGAAACATCATATCTGAATCAGCCAAACATAACTCCGCTTACATGCACATGGCGGAAATGATTAATGTATCTAGGTCTAGATACATAATAAAGAGAGTTGGAGATGCTACCGATTGGTTCAAATATACATCTTCCTGTTAAAAGACTAAAATACCAGTTAGTCACAAATAGATTCCAAGTTCTATCCTTCGAGGTATGTTCCAGGGGGCTGAGGAAGATCACTATTTATACATGTTGCTTATTCATTTTGAGGCATGATATATGGAAATTTAAACCAGCTCTAGGGTCTAAGGACATTCTCAAGCTATTTAAGGTTAAAGGGATAAATATACTCTTATAATCAATCTGTATTATAACTTGCTTATATCACTATTCTTTTTTGTATCATTAGGGTTATACAACCTTAAGGCTTTGTAAGACTACAAATCTACATCTAATGTCTTGTAAGGTCATAAATAATATTCATGTGACTAGTAAAATCACCATTGAATATTTTTCAACGTGACTCAGTACTTCAATGACCTATGGCGGAATTTGCAGAAACTCAACTTGTACGAGGAACAAAGGTGGAGCTGTCTGGAGACAGGCTCCAGTACCGGCAAATCATGGAGAAGAAGAGGCTGTATAAATTTCTTCTCGGCCTCAAACAAAGAATTGAATGACGTTTGGGGGAGGATTCTGGGAACCAGACCAATTCCCAGTATCTGTGAGGCCTTTGCCGAAGTAAGTATGGAGGAAAGCTGATAAAAGGTAATGCTCGGGAACCCGTTGCCAGTCTTGGCTCCAGAAAAGTCAGCGCTTTCTATTCAGGAGTCGCACATAATGTCGCGGTAAAAGAAGCAGAAAAGGGGGAAGCTTTCGTGCAAGCATTGCAAGAACTCCAGCCACTCAAAGGAGACCTGCTATAAAATCTATGACCGACTAGTACAAGGAAATAAAAACTAGAACCTAGGAGAAAGAGAGAGACGAGGAAATCTGGAGAGAGAAATCAGGGAGAATGTGGCTGTTTCAATGGATTTGGATGCTAAGGAAAAATAGATGAACAAAAGACAGTATTCAGTAATAAGCAGTTGGAATATTTAAATAACTTAATGAGTGCCCATCAACTTAGACTAGTGATAGGTATTGGATCTACTTCTCATTCAGGTAAACCTAACTAATACCCCATTTAATTTTCAAAGTTCAATTAACGTATGGATTATTAACTCTGGAGTTTCAAATTATATAATTGGTAACCTGAAATTGTTCAATACATATGAACCATGTCAAGAAAGAACCTCTATTAAAATTGCAAACCGGGCCTTTATCAAGGGTAGTTGGAAACTCATTGTATGTTTATCTAAAATTATAGAATCAAACCCTAAGTTCTATGTTCGTGAACTAAGTTGTAATTTATCGTTAACAAGCAAATTGACCCAAATATTGAGAGTTCGTGCTAAATTTGATTCCATTGTGGTTAACGTTCGGGAACTATATTCAGGAAGACAATTGTCAATGCTGAGATCCCCTCAGGGCTCTATATCCTTAAAAGTAATTATTCTCAAGAATCTCCTTTCTTCGAACTCTCCTGTTTTAGCTCTTGTAATGATAGTGCAACAATGTTATAACATTATAAATTAGGACATCCAGTTACTTACAAAGACTGTTTTCCTCATTATTCACCAATAAAAATTCTAAGGATCTTATGTGCCATATATGTCAACTTGCAAAGCACACATGAAATACATATCAGATACAACCATACAAAAAGTCAAACCTTTTTCTTTGATAGATAGTGATGTATGGAGACCATCAAGAATGAAAAACATTACTGGGAGTAGATATATTTCTTCTGTTTGTAGATGATCATATTAAAGTTACCTGGGTATACGTGATGAGAAAACATTCGAGAGTTGGGGAAATATTTCAAAAGTTCAATAATACGATTTAAATCCAATTTCGAACTAAAATTCAGATCCTTAGAACAGATAATAGCAATGAATACTTCAAATTTACTCTCAAAAGTTATCTTGAAAAGCTAAGACATTATACATTGAAGTTCGTGCGTTAATACAAAATGGGGTAGTGAAAGAAAGAATCGCCACATCCTTGAGATTGCCAGATCACTTAATTTTCAGCAGATGTACCGAATCATTTCTGGAGGGAAGGAAGCCATACTTACTGCCACCTATCTTACCAATAGAATGTCATTCTGACTATTAAAATTCCTAACTCCAGTCCAGAAGCTACTCCAACCTACTCTCATAATAGAACCATTGTCGAAAATTCCATCAAAAATCTTTGGATACAGTGCATTTGTTCATATTTATCCACAACACTGCAGTAACTTGGATCCAAGATCAGTACATCTTTTTAGGGTACATCCCGCACCAAAGAGGAAACAAATGCTACTAACCTAAAACCAACAGTTTTAAACTTCAGTAGATGTAACATTCTTTGAACAATAACCATTTTTTTCTCAATCAGACATTCAGGGGCAAAGAAACCAAGAAGAATCTCATATTTTGGATTACTGGGAACAAATGGGGTAACATGACCAACCTATAGAGCCATACAACATCTTTCAGGGAAGTCTTATTCCAGCACTTTGAACAAGTTTCTAAACCTGAATCATGGATTCCATAACATGCACCTACCTTGGAAACTTCCCAAGAGAATCCATCAAATCGTAATGGAGAGATCATTGTTTACTCCAGAAAAAAGAAAAAAGGGAGATATATAGTGCAGCAACTCCTGAGCATAGCCAAGATTCCTTGCTGAATAAGGGTTCTAATTCACAATTAGAGCATACTGAAAGTGAAACAATCAGAGATGATCATCCAATTGCACTAAGGAAAGGGGTAAGAACTTGTATGAATCATCCATTATGCAATTTAATATGCAAAATTATCACCTCAATTCAGGCGTTTCTTCAACCCTGGACAACACTCATGTCCCTAAGATAATTCATGAAGTTATGAGTTATTCCAGATTGGAAGATGGTTGTATTGGAAAAAATGATAGCCCTAAAGAAAGATAACACTTGAGAACTAGCAAATTACCAGATAGAAGACAAACAGTAGGATGCAGATGGGTATTTATAGTGAAGTATAAAGCAGATAGGAAAATTGACAGGCTGAAGGCTCGATTGGTTACAAAGACACAATTATCTGGCATTTATTACCAGGAGGACATTTGCTCCAGTTACTAAACTAAAAACAACCTGGGTATCCGGCAGCAAATCTCGATTGGCCACTTTACAACTAAATGTAAAGAATGTTTTCTTCAACATTGAACTTACAGAAGAAATATAAATTGATATCCCCCCCGGACTTTGAAACTCAAGTTAATATGAATAAAGACTACAAGTTGAAAAAGTCTCTATATGGTGTAAAGCAATCTCCTAGACCGTAGTTTGTTAGATTCAATAAAGCAGTTAAAAAACATGGATACACAGTGTCAGACAGATCACATATTATATGTGAAACACTCCCAGGTGTGAAAGATTGCAACACTTATTATCTATATGGATGATGTAGTAATAACAGTG